CAGCTGGCTACAACTTTCCAGGGAAGGTTTTATGAGGTCAGCTGGTGTGTCTGTGGCCCACGGTGGTGCTGACTTCAGGGTCTCAGGAGGATGCTTGACAGGAAGGAGCACTCCAGACAGAGTAGCTGATGGTTATGGCAAGAATTCCAGTTCCCACCATCCTCTCTTGTCCAGGAAGCCAGGAAGAGTAGAGAATGACACCTTTCCACAGCTGGAAAACTAGAGGCCCAATAGTCCAGCTGAGCACTGACAGGCCAACAGGGACTCCCGGGCGTCTGATGCATTTACCAGGTGGAGACATAGGTGAGGGTGCAGGTGAGGCCTGGGGTGGGGACAGGAAGAAAGCTTCCTGGAGTGCCCTCCTTGGGAAGGGCCAGGGGCAGGCTCGGGGCGGAGGAGGGATGGGAAAGCATAGGCCAGCAGCAGGCCTCAGGTAGCTCCTCTGCCCACTGCAGGGACAAGGCCCTGGAATCTGGCCTGGGTGGAGTCATGCTGTATCTTCTCCATTCCCTTATTACAGGCTATGGTCCAGGATCAACCAGAGATAGCAGAAGATGATCAGTCCATTCTTTACAGTTCTGGGGGACACGGAGTGGCAGGTGCTGCCCGGAGGCATCCAGCTAGCATCTGATGAGAGGCGGGGCCAAGGCTTCTTGCTTCCTCATGACGCTGCCCACTCAGCTGCGCAGTCTGAGTTTCCAGGATGTCCCGCCTTGTGCCAGGGCCTGGGCATCAGAGAAGAGGGTGGAAGTGGTCCCTGGGTGAAGGGTGGTAGGCTGGGAGATAGCTGGAGGAACAGTGGTGGCACTGTCTTCTGCTTTGAACCTCCAGGGCCAGCCCAGAGCCTCCAGGCTAAAACCCAACTCCTTGCTGGTCCCACTAGAACCTACTGTCCTGACCCATGCCACCTGCACCTCCATCGCGAATCCTCTCTCCTCATGCTCTGGTCACACAGCCCTTCTCTCTTTCCTCTCACCATGGGGACTTTGCACATGCTATTCCCTCTCTCTGGAGTCCCCACTTCTGTGGGTCATTGTCTACTCAACCTTCTGGTGCTACATCGAGTGTCACTTCCTGTAGGGAGCCTCTCCTGACCCCCTAATCCAGACCAGACCAGGTCCCCAGAGACCTCATCATAGCACTTGTCCCAGTTGTCATTTTACATTTGTGTGCATGGTGGTTTGGTTTCTTCTTGTCTCCTCTAGACTCTAAGGTCTCCACTGTGTATTCCTCACGCCTGGCGCAGTGTGTGGCATGAAGTAGGCCTACAACCCTTGTTCACAGAAAGAATAAAGAATGTTGGCTCTCACCTCCCTGAGCCTTGCTTTTTTCTTATCTGAAATGGGAATGATAACACCAAGATGAGCATGAGGGTAAGCCAATGAACAAAAATCTTCTGGCCACACTCTTGGCAGAGGAGGAGGGAAGAGGAGAGAGATTGGGATAGGGAGGGAGTGGTTGATGCCAGCTGCTTAGGGACGGAAGGATTTGAGAGATGTGTGAAAACCAAAAGGTGGTGGGGACAGGTGGGGAGAGAGGTGGAGGTGGGGAGATTGGATGTGTTTAGAGATTGTAAGGAGACAGCCCAGCTGGGTGGGGCATTTCTCCGAACCCTTGGTGACCTACTTTTCAGCCTGGCTTAGGAAGCCAGGGGTTTCAGAGGAAGTGGGTGGGAAATGCCCACTGCCTCCTCAAATTCCATGTGGGCCACTCTCAGTCCCGGCTGGACCTGGCATGATGATTAAATCTGGGACACTGCCAAAGTTCTCCATGACTGGCCTGTGGAGATGGCTGGAAACAGCAGAGCAGCCCTGGGCAGGCATTTGTGGGGGCACTGACCCAGACTCTGTGGTGGGAAGCAGCTGCCAGCTCCTAGTAGAGGAGCTCCCTCCTGGAGCTGCCCAACTGGTCTGGTTCCTGGTCCCTGCCCCAGGCCCCCAACTACTACTGCTCTGGCCATGGAGTGGGCCTGGTTCATGCCATGCCTCTCTGTAAAGCCTGCTGGAAGGAAGAGGTGGCTGGCCACCAGCACAAGGACAGGACACAAGGGGATCCCAGAGAGGCCTCTGCACCTGACTGCCTTAGTGCAGAACTCCTGGGTAGAGGGCCTAGGCTCGGACTTGCTGGGGACAATAAATGACATAGACTTAGGCTCATCATCCCTGTGGCACATACCAGCTTGCTCCCATACTTAGAGAGGGAGTTAAGGCTCAGAGAAAGTATGCCACCTATTTGAGTTTGCACCACATAGCTGGGCATAAATTCCCAAGCACGGACACAAAGGCTGTGTGCCTCCCAAGACAGCAAAAGTAAGCGGGAGAACTGGATGGGGATGCAGGCTGGGATTGCTGCTCCGTGTGGATGTCAGAGACTCTGGGGAAAGGCTGTTTGTCTCCGTGTGGCTTCCCTAGGGTTCACCTGGAAGCCCTGGGAAGATACCTCAGGAGGCGTGCTGAGCCAGAGCAGGCAACACCTGTGAGCTCATCTCGCTTGGGGCCCCCAGGAAATCTGTTACGGAGGCAGAAAGAAAATGGCCAGGGAAGGAGGGAGAAGGGAGACAACAGGGACTTTGGGATGGGCCACAAAGTCAAGCTCAGGCACAGGGAAGAAAAGGCCATTTGCTGCATGCCTGCTGTGTGCTGAGCCATTCCTGAGCATCGTCCCTCGTGGATTCTTCGCCAGTCACCTTACTGGCAATGTATCTTTATTCCCATTGTACTGAGGAGGACACTGAGGCTGGAACCGACACTGGATCTGCCTGATACCAAAGTCTGGAGTCTTTACAGGGCATCTTCATGACGGCTGGGTACAGGAGCCTGGCTCTTCCTGGACTCACATCACAGCCACAGCACAGCCTGGGCTTCTCCTACTTCCAGCTCTGGTCAGTAGGGGGAGGCTGTGCTGCCTCTGGCTGTGGATACCGGCACAGAGGTTGGGTCTGGCCTTGGAGAGGAGGAACAGAAGAGAAGGTGGCCCTCTGGCAAAAGCTGCTGAGTTTGGGAAGCCCTTAGCCATACCTCTGTGATGGCTGAAAGGTGGGGGTGGGCGCTGCTGCCTAGATTTGCCAAGCAGCAGCTCTGCTGCTGCCCCAGAACAAAGTCGAAACTCCTCAAATCAAGGATTTATAGCTTCTCTTCCCTCCGAAACACCCATCACTCCGTTTCCCACTTCCAGGTCTTTGCACATGCTCTTCTGTTGGCATGGGATCCCCTTTCTGTTCCTTTCTGCCTGGCCAATTCTTACTCATCCTTCACTACCTGGCTTCAATGTCACCTCCTCCAGGACCTCCTCCACCCCCCACGGCTCTATCACACTTTCCCTATTCTTGTTTTCTGAAGGTAGGAATGTGTCTAAATCATCTGTGTGTCTCCAGGACCTAGCACAGGATGGGGCACATGACAGAAACTTCCTGAACAATGGGCAAAATGCATCCCTCTGCAGGGTTGGGGAGCAAGGGACAGTCTGGGGTGGAAGTAAGGGTGGGGAAGGGGCCCTGAAGACGAAAAGCTCATGTGCCAGACTTGTCCAGGATCAGGCTGACCGGGAGCCTAGGGGTGCACTTTACTTCCCAGGGGTGTCATGAGGCCCCAAGGAGATCTTGGATGTTAGGGAGCTCTGCAAAGAGTAGGTCCCTGTACCAACTCAACTTTGCCTCATTCCCTGGTTCCCCTGATAAGGCAGAAGGAAGGAGGAGGCCGACTCGGCCTGGTGAGTGTCCAGGGTGGCAAGGATTGCAATCTCAGCGGTGGCCTCAGCTCTCACAGGCAAGAAGGAGGTGGGACTCTGGGGATTGAGGGCCTACCTTGCGACTCCCCCTCCTATGGGATCTAATACCATATCAGAGCTGGGCATGGGCTCAGAGATGATGGAAGCCATGTCCTTACAAAGGGGGTACACTGAGGTGCAGAGAGGGGTAGGTATTTGCCCAACGTCACACAGCAGGAACGGGACGCCACCCCGTGAGCCCTGTTCTCTCAGCATGAGAGGCGTCTCCCCCTGGAGTTCAGACTCGGAGAGCAGCTTCCCTGATCCCCCTCCCTGGCCCCGCAGTCCAGGGCGCTCAGCCTGCACCGCCGCACACCCACTGTGGGCCCAGAGACTTGGCTGCTGAGCGCCCCCTGGATGGCGTGGTCCCGGCAGCTCCCGACCGTCCTTCTCCTTGACTCACCTCCAGCCCGGAGGGCCGGGCTCCACTGCGGCCGACAGGGCGTCGCCAGCATGGCCGCTGCTGTGCCACCGCCCCGGACTGTTCCCGCGCGGCGAGGTCCCCGCCCCGGCGCCCCCGGGTGGAGCCGGTAGAGCCGGGTGCGCTAGCCCTTTAAGCCCGGGCGAGATGAGAGCTGTCATCGGCAGCCGAGGCTAGCGCGGGACGCTGCCACCCTAGCGCCAGGCTGAACCTAGTAGCCGCGGAGAGCGGACGGGACGGCTGGGCCGGGCGCGGCGCGTCCCCTCGCGGCCCACTGCGCCCTCGAACCCTGGGCCTCGCGAGCGGCGGGCGGCACCCTCTGTAATGCGGAGCATGTGAGAGGTAGCGCAAGGCGGTGGGGAGGAGGGGGTGCGGGAGAAAGCAGCGGCGAGACAGGCGGAGAGCAGCGGGGAGACCGAGGACAGGGTTGGGCAGGTGGGAGAAGGCAGAGAGGCGCCGGAGAGGCCGGGCAGGAAGGGGGAAGAAGGGCGGCGGCGCAGCGGAGGGGGCCGGCGCTTCGGACGGGAGTGCGGGAAGCCCGAGTCGGCACCCGGGCCCAGGTTCGGGCTGGGAGCGCGACCGCGGCCCGGCCAGGCAGGGTGCGGGAGCCAGGCCGCCCGCGGGGTCCCCACCGGGAGCAGCGGGGCACCTGAGGCCGGCGGGTACGGGAGGGGCGCAGGGCCGCGCTCCGAGGGCTCGAGCCGGCCCGGCTTAGGGGCCTTTGTGACCGCCCCAGGAGAGCGAGTAGGGAGTGCGGAGCCGGGTGTGCGGCGGCGTCGGGTGTGCGTGCCCGGGTGTGCGAGTGTGAGCGCCGGACGGTGGGGGCGCGCGGTAGGGATTCCGCCGGCATCGCGCCATGGCGAGCAGGAGGCAGGAGCCGGGCGCCCAGGAGAACCGAGGCCCTCTCGCGCACCACGCCGCGCGCTCTCGTGCACACACACGCACTCCCTGCCGCGGTCGCCGCCGCGGCCACCATCGTGGATCTGAGCCCTGCGCCGGCCCCCTCCGCTGCGCAGCCGCACTTCTTCCCCCTTCCAGCCCGGTCTCTCCGGCGCCCCTCTGCCTTCTCCCACCTGCCCACCCCGGTCCTCGATCTCCCCGCTGCTCTCCGTCTGTCTCGCCGCCGCTCCTGAGGAGCGGGAACCGGAGCCGGAGCGGGAACCGGAGGCAGCCGAGCCGGGGAATGCCGGCCCGAGCGCAGCCGCGCGCCAACGGCGCGCCCGGGATGGTGAGCATGGTCGGGCTGGCCCCGCTGCTGCGGGGCCGAGGCTACAGTGGCGCAGGCCCCGGCGCCGGGGTGTCTGTACGCGGCCTCTGATTGGGCGGGAGCCTCGAGGGCAGCAGCGGGCTTTAGATGCCTGGTGCGCTTCTGTGGGAGGGGTGTGCACGCCCGGGGCTGGGAGGGGACGCGCTTGGCACCCCAGGTCGTGACAGTGCTCCTGCCCGTCGCGCGGCCCCGCCTCACCCTCCCCTGCCGCTGCAGCCCCGGCGACTTGCGGCGACTTGCAGCAACTTTGTGGAGACCCTGGGGCGCGGCGGGCCGGGAGGGGTGGGGACGGAGGCGCTTTCGGGGTGCAACTGCGGCCTTTCTCTCCAGAGAAGAGAACGCGAGGGGAGTGGGGCGTGGCCGCGGGCTGGACCGCCTGACAGGCTGAGGGGTGCTCCTCCACTTCCCCAGTGGCGGAGCCGCCCGCAGTCTGGGACACCCACCCAGCCCCGGGGCGCCGCGCTGAACCTGCTCCGTGTGCCGGACTCAGATGACCCCGACAGGGTCAGGCGAGACCGCGCGGCGACAGCTCCCAGGCCCAGGGCCCCGCAGGTTGTCTTTGCAGGCAGGGGGAAGACACCGAGGTTGAGTTGGGGGAGTGCAGAGACGTGCCCGGGCGTGTATGTGTGTGTCCCCTTGCCTTCTGCTCCTCGGGACGATGGCTGGAAGAAGGGAACTCGCCGCAAGGCGCGCCCCACCAGACCTGGACCCTCAGGAGCTCCCAAGAGCCTGGGGATGGGAGGGGGCGTCTCCAGGTCTGCTGGCCTGGTGCCCCATCCCTGCTTGGAGCCATACCCCCGCGTGCCTCACTCTGCATTGAGGTTGTGGCTGTGCTTTGTATCCTCTCCCCTTTTGAGTCTCCTCCCACACTCTGGACCTGTGCTGGCTGCCTGAGGGAACACCCCTCACTGCCAACCCAGCCAATCCTGTGGAAGACGGGATGGAAAGCTGTGGTCCAAGATGGTGCTTCCGCGAGGGAGAGAACCCCATGTCTCCTGGAGTGAGAGACGCAAGGAAGGGTCATGGGTCAGGACTCCTGCAGGCTCCTCATCCTCCTTGCTTCCAGGGCAGGTGTTTCCTCCTCTAGGAAGCCTTCTCTGGTTGCTACTGAGTCCTTCCAGTTTGAACTTCCCTGGGGTTGTAACTGCCGGGATTCCAAGCAGCCCCCATCCGTGTGAACCTATGTAGTTAGAAGTCTTGATCTCAGCCTGGATGCTGCATGGAGGGGTGTGGCGGCTGGAGCAGTCAGTATCTACCTGGGTCTCTGTAGTATGGTAATGTCTATGGTGATATCAGCTTTCAGGCTTAAACCTTACTTCCACCTCCATTAGCCCTTGGAATCTCTTAGCCGCTTTGTGAGAATGCAGGACCCATGGGCAAGGTTCTTATCCATTTCACAGAGGAGGATTTTGTGGCAGAGATGGAGGCAGTCTTCTAAGTCTCTGGACAGCCCTTTTCCACTGCGAGGGCATCCAGTGACCCTCTTCGGTGAGGCATGGAGGGCACCCAGGCCTTCTTTATTGACCTGGCAGGCGGGCTCCTGCTGTGTATGGCATGTTTACCAGGCCGGCGGCGGCTGTTCTCAGCCAGAGGCAGATGAGCAAAGGCTTCTGGCCTGTGGGACCTTTTAACCCTAGCCTGGTTAAATATGTGCTTCCTGGATTTGGGGCCAGAGGCTGTCTGAGCTTTGCTTGATGGTTTGGAAGCCCAGCTCCTGTCATCCTCTGCACAGCTCTCGGAGTTCACTACCATCCCAGGGATCCAAATCACTCCCCACCCAGCCTGGCACTCTATGCTGGGTACTGGCATTTTCCTTCGGCCCCAGAAGCCTTCTTATCCTCTCCATCCTAGAGCCCCTTTGTGGGTCAAAAGTTTCCCCATGGAGATCTAAATGTGCACTGAGGGGGACTGGAAGGGACTCCTAAGCTCCAGACTTTTGCCTCCTAGGTGTTGACCAAAGCTCTGTTTGACATCCAGGAGGCTGGAGCATAGCAAGACGCCTGGCTTGGCCCCACCCCTGCCACAGTGCCCCACCCCTGGCCCACCCCCCACCCATCGGTGCCTGCTTGAACCCCTGCCACGGTTCTTCTGATACCTCCATTCCCACCCCAACCAACTCCAGCAAAATGAACCCTTCATTTAGGGTCCCGAGCCGTGGTGAGGAGGAGACCAGGGGCACTTCTTTGGCCCCTGGTCTATTCTGCCAGGGGTGAAAATTCCAGCCTGGGGCTTCCAACCCCTACTGACTGCCCCCTTTAGGAAAACAGCCACTTTCCCACCCCAACATCCTGACTGGGAGGGAGCAGTGCCCAGTGTGACCCCCTTAATTTCCCTCCCCAGGCAAGACCTGACCCTGCCATATTTGGGTTTTAAATTATAGAAGTATTCTAACAAATCCAGTGGTAAGAATTTATTGAGTGGCCTGGGTCTTGGGGTGACTCAAGGGAAAAAGCTGCCCCTGACCACCCAGGCATACCTTTGTGGGGGCTGAGGGCCACCCTGACCAGTCTCAGAGTTTCTTCTGTGGGCTTCTCGGGCCCAGACCCCTGTTCCCAAGAACCACGCCTTGCTTCTTACTCTCCAGGCCCTGGAATCCTACCCTTGAGCCTCACTTCACATTTGGAGGCATCTTCTGGCTTGAGACCTGGACTGAGTGCTGGGGATACCAATCATGAGCCTGGGCCCCTCCCCGGATGGTCTCTCAAAGGGGAAACAGATTTGGACCCATACCTCTGGGTATGAGCCGAGCGGGCTGGGTGATCAAGAAGGTCAGTGGGGGAGTGGCAAGGGGCTGTTTCAGAAGGAGGGGGCTGGCAGGGTCTTGACCTGCTGATATTTTCTGGGACTTGGTCGATGCTTAGTAAATAATTGACTAAATGAGTGAATGGCTAATGTGAATGTGAGTGGGGGCTTTCTAGGAAGATGGCATGGCGCTGGCAAAGGCATGGAGGTGGGAAGTGCTGGGCAAGGATAGAACATGTTTGCAGTGGAGTAGTTGACACGGGCATGGAGAAGGTTGGCACCAGACAGAAGAGGATCCTCAGTGCCCATCTGAGGAGTGTGGGCTAATTCTGAATTCAGGGCTTGCAGGGTTGAAGTTCTGGAGAGACACAATTAGATTTGCGATATAAACTGCTCCTCTAGTGGTCGTGGGAGGGGTTGTCCAGGAGCTGGGAAGACCTGGGTGGGGTGATCTAGGTTGTCAGAGTTGGGCGAGGGCTCAGGATTCATAGGCCCCACCACCTGGGCATACAGAGGTGGCAGGTGTCCTGAAGTCATAGATGCAGTCTCCAGTACTGACCCTGCCACTGTGTGCACTTCAGTAAGCCCCTGAGGCCTGTGGGTCTGCTTAGTTCCTATGTCTGTAAAGTGGATGTGTTTGTTTGTCTCCGTGGATAACTGGAGTGAGTTTGAGTGGGAGTTTGTAACCTCAGAAGAGGGCTATAAATGAAAAGGGGTAGAGGACTACAAAGGAAAAGGGGTAGAGGAGTAGTGAGGCGATACTATTTGATAGAGGAAGAGCTTGAGGCCTAGAGCGGGGCAGTGACCAGCACAAGGTCACTAAGCAAGTTGGGAGCGGGCACTGCAGTCTCAGGTTTTTCTGGCTATGCCTGTGCTTGCTGGGCAGGGGTGGGTGGGGCGACCGAGGCCTCGGGGCCTCTGCAGGGCCTCCGTAGGCAGTTGTTTCAGCACTCCAGCTGTCAGAGAGCATGTGGGGCCATATGGCCACATCAGGGGAGGTGCCAGCCTCTGGAGGAGGGATAGCAGCTGCCACCATGGCCGTCTGGATCTATGTGGGCACTGCCAGCCACCAGGGTCAGGGTGAGAGGGGCCAAAATGGAACTTCGGTGTCCAGGTTGGTTTGGACATGGAGGCTGGACCTTGGCAGGTGGCCCAGTTCCAGCACCCGCCTGCCTGGACAGCCGGATAGACAGCTCCATGCCCAGGACTGATACAATTAGCTCAAGGCCAGCCGTGCCAGCCACCCTCCTCACATGCCCCTCCCAGCTCTGATGGCCTTACCATGGGGTGGCACCGTGCCTCTGATGTCAGGGTCACTGGTCTCAGTGGAGTGTGTGTGTATGTGACATGTCCCCACACCCTGAGTGCTGATTCTGAAGCTCTGAGACTTTGGGGTGTGGAGTGGCTCCTCAAATCAGCCTGGTGGATCCAGAGGGCCTGGGCTTGGATGCCAGATGGAAGTGGGTTTGAATCTTGGCTCAGCTGCTTCAAGCTGGGTGAGCTTGGACAAGTCACTTTACTTTACTGAGCCTCACTTTCCTCATGCGTGTCATGGGGGGATGATATCTACCGTAGCCCACTTGGAAATAATGCATGTAAAGCAGCCACTGCCGACGGCATTGTAGGATCTGAGTAAATGTTAGCTGATGTTTTTGCCCTCTGCAGGAAGGGGAAGTGAGTCAGGTTGGAGTTTCAATGTAAAGAGGAGCCCTATTATTATTATTTTCCAAGGCAAAATCTGCTTTATAATTTTGTGTTTTTATACTCCTTCTTTTGTTTAGTCCTCATGGTAGTTCTAATAAAGTAGGCAGACAGCGTTGTTCCATTTCACAGATGAGAAAACTGAGGCCACGGTGAGAAGTGATTCTCCAGAAGCCACACAGTGAGTTAGGCTTAACACTGTCTCTGGATTCCTGGTCCATTGTTCTTGCTTCACAGTGAGGCTTCCCAAACTTCTAGGGTGGAGACTGGGGGAGGAGTGGCTTTGTCTTCTGTCTATACCAGCTTGGGGGTTCTAGAGACTCCCTTCTTGGCTCTGTTTCCATGATAGGTACAAGGACAGGCTGTCATGGTGGCTGGTAGCCAGTCTCAGCTGGGAATGGAATGAGGGATGCTCAATAGGGCAGCATCTGCTGTATTTCTCCGACTGCCCCAGCACAGAGTGGGGCTGAGATTGGGGAGCTTCCTGGGGAGGAGGAGAACCCAGTGATAAGTGAGGG